AGTAGCGGTTTTGGACATTTGAGGTTTATGCCTGACAGCAACAATATAGAGCAGCATTACGTATTGTATTGCTATATCAGTGCAGCTAGATAAATGTGTGCATTTAAAGAGAAATACTTGATCTATTATGCATTCACGTGTAAGATGCATATGTGCTACTTTTTGTGCTATTTCTGGTCCTTTCAGGCCTCCGGTCTTTATTTTTTCCTGTGATGTTTCTACCTCTCCATTCCTCTCCCCTTCCACACCTTGCTCGTTCTTCCATTTTAAGTATGGCAGGTTGCCATGGAAACCTCCTCCCCCACCCCCGCTCGCCCACTCCCAGCTGCTGCTGCTGCAGTATCTAAGATTCGTTGTTGTTGCCTGGCAACAAGTCACACAGTGTTTCCTAGCAACAGGACCACCGGAGGGGTCTGCCAATCCTGAACCTCTGTGCATCTCCAACCCCCGCATCCCCTCTCGTTTCTTCCAGCATCACTCTCATTCTATCATCCCTTTCCTCCTCTATTACTCGCCGTCTCTCTGCATCCCACATGCTTCATCTTTTAAATGACTCTCAGTATAGCATCCTCATATATCTCTCATATTCATCTGTGTCTCATTTTCCTGCTTGGCCTCTTTTCCGTTCCTCCTGTTCCCATGACCTCAACCGTGTTGTAATTTACAAGCACTAAACCAGCACTTACACAACACACCTGCGTTGCCTCAATAACACAACATTAGCCTGCTAATAATCACTATTTAGTTGGACAACTAGACTGGGTTTCAAAAGTCTATCAGATTTGCAGTGTGTAGTTCGTCCTTCTGCTTCACCTCTCTGCAGGTTGCTAATAAAGAATCAATGGATTTCTCTTTTTCCTCTTATTGCTCTGTGCCTCTCTCGATCTGTCCCACTTACTCTATCCATTTCTTCCCACTGTCTGATGTCATTCCAGTTCAGCTCTGCTCTATCAGCCTGTCAATATCTCCACCATCCACCACCCAGGAGACCCACCACACTTGCTTCATTCCTCTAATGGCACATTAGATTGATCGTCCTCTGTCTATCTGGCTGATCTTTGAGGAGAAGCATATATCAGTAATGCAAATTCAATAACCCCAAACAGGCCTCGCACATCACAATATTTAGATACTTTGGTTCTGAACTTCAACAGAGTTAATGAAAGATGCCATTTGAGCACAATGGGCACATACACACTAGAGGTAAATTGGGTTGTCAATTTACCTTTTAATGCTTAATCCTGTTCTGTACACACACAGTTCAGTAATTTACTGCCTTCTACAAATGAATTAACTCCTAAAAAAATCAGGTAGTGACAAAAGCATTTACAGAAATTCTACTGGGGTGCATTTCCCAAAAGCATTGTTACACAGCGATTGTCTTAAAGGGTTAGTTCACCCAAAAATGAAAACAGCCCATAAATTACTCACCCTCAAGTTATCCTAGGTGTATATGACTTTCTTCTTTCAGACGAATCCAGTCGGAGTTATATTAAAAATGGTCTTTGATCTTTCAAGCTGTTTAATGCCACTCAACGGATGTTTCATGCATCAGTCCAAATGAAGTTAAATAAAAAGTGCCCATCCATAAAAAAAAAAGTGTCTCACACGGCTCCGGGGGGTGAACAAAGGCCTTCTGTAGCGAATCAATGCGTTTTTGTAAGAAGAATATCCATATTCAAAACGTAATAATCACGTTAATGTAGCTTGCGCCAACAGTTGTACACGGAAGCAGCTCCGGGCGGATGACGTATGAGTTCAGCGTTGCGCATGCGCCGGTGAGTCTCTTGAAAACCAACGTTTGTTAACAGGAGCAAAGGAAGCAAAGCTTCCTTACTTTAGCAAAAGAAAACCAGTCTCCTCTTTTCTTATATCGAAATCCTAGTTTTGTACTTCTAATAAGTGACCGTTGTTTTGTTTTGATCTCTCCGCTGCGTTTCCACGTGCGTCACTTCTGAGCAGCACATGCG